ATATGTTTTATGATAAATTATACACTCTATTTTATGTCTGCTTTGTAAAGAAGAGCTAAGGGTAGAAAAGTGCTTGAAATGGGGAGCTATGACATATTTTTAAGTTCATTAAAAATGAGATCCTCATCTGGAATTGGTCCGTTGTTCCTTTTTCTGTTCAGGAAAGAACACAATAAAATAAAGCCACTCCCTTCTTGCCATTCCCATTAACTCTACCGTGTAAATGAACTACATATAGCTCGGTTTTTTAGAGTCTAAAGATACTGTGTTTATTCTTCATTAGTGGAATTGAAAATTGCAAACGTTCACTCTGTTCTTGTGATGGAAAACTTAAGGCATTGATTTTTGTAAAGTATATATTTCTCATTTTTTAGCTCTAACAAGTAACGACAATGTTTCGAATTTGGCCCATATTCTCATTTTGGTATGGTGAAAATAAAACAGTAATATGGATAGAAACGGAAGACCAGTAAAAGAAAAAACCTTCACAAACAAATTTGGCGCTACTTTGCATTTGAGAACCATATGAAGATTAAGGAGAATGTTGATGGGCATGAAAAAAATAATGAGAATCAATTCAAAGAACACTCATTAGACCCTATAGTATGCCCGGAAATGTGGTAGGCAAAGTGCATTAAGCTAAAGAAATTGCTGCCTTGAAGTGGCTTATGTCTGGTTATAAAAGTAAGATAAATGTAAAACTGAAACCACCCTTACAAATTGAAGGGGTACAAGGCAAGAACTAGAGTTAGAACCCAAACATTCTGTGAAGGAACAGGCTCAGCTAAAATAATAATCAGCCACTGTCCCTTCACTTGCTTGACAATAGTCAATGTCCCCTTGTATGCTTCTCTATAATGTAAGGTGACCAGATTTTAACATTGGTAAAACAGGACACCACTGGGGGGGGCAGGGCCTGACAACAATGCAAACTTTGATAAGCAGTTCTCAACAATTATTTGTTATTATTAAAGTTTAACATTATAAAATTAACAAAAATAATATAAAACACATATCCTGGCGAAATAGCCACATAGCAGCCGAAAACCATATATTCCCTTCCTGTTCTCCCATGTTCCCTAGCTTGTCGGGCATTCTTTCCAAAAATCAGGTCTCTTTAAAACGCTGTAGGACGCAGGACAAATTGTTAAAAATTGGGACTGTCCTGCCAAAAGTGGGACTTCTGGTCGCCTTACTCTAGAGAGGGGGCTACTTGTTTGTTCCAGACAGTTTGGCTCCTTCTGAGCTAATTGTCCTTGCCTAGAAGCAAGGGAGGGAGCCAGTCTCCTTCTGGTACTTGCCCAGGAGGGGAGTAGGGAGTTGACATTAGCCTTTTCTTTCCAAATGAAGTTACATTAACCTCTTCATTCCTAAATGGAGTTACATTAACCTTTTCAGCAGCCGAAAACCGAATATTCCCTTCCCATTCTCCCGCTGTTCCCTAGCTTGTCATGCATTCTTTCCAAAAATCAGGACTTTTTAAAATGCCGTGGGATGCGGGACAAATTGTTAAAAATTGGGACTGTCCTGCCAAAAGCGGGACGTCTGGTGACCTTACTATAATGGCTACTCTGGAGGGCATGGCTGGTAGTTGTAAAGATTCTTAACTACTCTAGGTGTAGTGTTTGAAATATCTCCCAGGTCCTGCTTTCCGATGGATTGACTGACCCACCCAGACTAAAGAACTAACTCAACTGGTCTTGGAGCCCTCATCCAAGGAACTGCATTCCAGAGGACTGGCTGACCCACTCAGACAGTGGCCCATACCAAAGCATTGATGGTTCCACCCCAAAATTTAGCCAATTAGCAAACCTAATTACCTAAATCCCTACCTGTCAAACTCTTCTTAAAAACCCTGTCTCCTGGCTCCACACCTGTGGCTTAAGTGGCTAAGGTGCCAGCCACATACACCTGAGCTGGTGGGTTCAAATCCAGCCCTGACCCACCAAACAACAATGATGGCTGCAACCAAAAAAATAGCAGGCGTGGGCACCTGTAGTCCCAGCTACTTGGGAGGCAGAGGCAAGAGAATCACTTGAGCCCAGGAGTTTGAGGTTGCTGTGAGCTGTGATGCTATAGCACACCACCCAGGGCAACAGCTTGAGGCTGTGTCTTAAAAAACAAACAAACAAAAAACCCCTGTCTCCTCAATTTTGGGGGAAGTGGATTTGAAAAATTCCTCCTGTCTCCCTGCTTAGTGCTATGCAGAATAAACTTTCCCTGCCATCTCTGGAAATTGGATTTCTCTTGGGCAGCAGGCAGATGAACCTGTCTGGCGACAAAACCAGCTAGCAATGCTAGCTTTATATAGCCTCTACTCTGAGCCAGCCATCATGTTAGGTATTAAGAAACAAAAATAAGTAATAATATCTTGCTTTCTTTTTGTGAGACAGGGTGTTATTTGTCACCCTTAGTAGAGTTAGTCCCATGGTGTCATAGCTCACAGGCTGTGACAGGTGCCTGTAGTTCCAGCTACTTGGGAGGCTGGGGCAGGAGGATTGCTTGAATCCAGTGGTCTGAGGTTGCTGTGAGCTAGGCTGATGCCAGGGCACTCTAGCCTGGGCAACAGTGAGACACTGCCTTAAAAAAAATAATAAAAAGTCATATTTTTTCAGTGAGTAAATTGAGACTTAATCTTAACTAGTTTGCCCATGGACAAATAATTAGAAGGAATTGTGATGGAGCTGGACTTTAAACCAAAATTATTTAATTCAAAACCAATAGATTTAGCTGGGCACTGTAGCTCAGTAGTTAGAGCACTGGCCCTAACTCAAGGGCAGCAAGTTTGAACCTTGCCTGGCCCTGCTTAAAAAAAAAAAAATGAAGATTAAAAAACCACAATAAATTTAATCATTATACACTCTTGGCTTCCCAAAATTCTTGGCCTTGAGGAATTTCACAGTCTTTTGAGGTAGTTCTATTGTTAGGTAATTATAATAAAATACACTGAAAACTTTCTGGCAACTATTAGCGTTGCTGCCAGACAATTAGAGAGTCCACTAAGTCTACAAGAGTCAGAAAAGGGGTTCAGATTTGAAGGATGAGCAGAATTTTATCAGGACTTGGGAGAGGAGTGTCACAAAGTACAATAAGATAAAATCATTAAAGATGGAGTTATTAATGAAAAACATTTGAGAAGGAAGGGTTTTTATGATAAACTTCAAGTATGTAAGAATTAAATCAAATCCAACCAGCAAAAGAGGTTTGGAGGTGAGCAAATGCCAATTACACATGGTGTTCCTTCTATTTAGAACGCTGGTCTTGCCCTCTTCTGTCTATACAACTTTTTTTTTTTTTTTTTTTTTTGCCCTTTGTAGAGTACCATAGCATCACAGCTCACAGCAACCTCAAACTCTTGGGCTTAAGCCATTCTCTTGCCTCAGCCTTCCAAGTAGCTGGGACTACAGGTGCCCTCCACAATGCCTGTTATTTTGTTGTTGTTGTGTCATTGTTGTTTAGAACTTTTTTTTTTTTTTTGATAGAGTCTCACTTTGTTGCCTTCTGTGGAGTGTTGGGGCCTCACAGCTCAGAGCAACCTCAAACTCTTGGGCTCAAGGGATTCTCTTGCCTCAGCCTTCCCACGTAGCTGGGACTACAGGCACCCACCACGATGCCCCGCTACTTTTTTTAGAGACAGGTCTCGCTCTGGCTCAGGCTGGTCTCAAACTCCTGCACTCAGTCAGGCAAATCACTCGCCTGGGCCTCCCAGAGTGCTAGGATTACAGGTGTGAGTCACTGTGCCTGGCCTATATACAACTCTTTTTCATCCTCCAAGACTAGCCTCCTGTCAATTCCATTGGGTGAGTTATTTAACATCCCTTGAGTATGAGCAACTTCATCATGATACGTATGAGCCACAAAGGAGGGTTGTAAAGATTAGAAATGAATAGTGCATTTGCAAGCATTGTGGCACATAGTCGGTGCTCAATATTCATGGAATGAAAAATTTAAAAAAGCAAGCACTGGCTTGAAATCGAGGTGACTTCTCCAAAATCCCTACAACTAAAAGCGGTCTTTTGCTTTACATATTAATTTTCATGCTTCCTCGTGCATGATTGTTACTTATCTTTCTCCCCCACTCATCTTTAAGCACCAGCAAGAGCAGAAGACCGCTTTTGATCTGTACACTGCCATATACTCAGCAAACTGCTAGTCAAATAAGGTGCAATTAATATTTGCTTAATGAAGGAATAAAGGATGCTTAAAACCCATTTATTCATGAATGAATGATGTTCTTTGTGGCCTCTCAAGTTTACTTGTTTAGCTTTAAGTTCCTAGGATACAGATATAAAACAGACTAAGGCAGAGAATGTTTACTTTCTATTCTTTAGTAAAAAACAAGCGCAAAAGCCTTTTTCCAAGCGGGATGACATTAACATATAATTTAGAGTGCCATCTGGTGGTTGCCCGTGTTAGACAATAATTGTTGAAGAAAGTGACTAAAAAAGCCTAGGTATAAAAAGACAACGATGAATTAAATACAGTAGAAAAAATTAAAATAGAAAACATTTTAAATCGCCACTAAAGAGAAGTCTTTCTAAAAAGGCTGTTTGTAGGTTTTTAATCTACTCGGTTTTTAAAAAAGCAGTATATTCCTTAAGAAAATAAGTCGCTTTTACAAAAATTCCAACACAGTAACCTGGTGGCAGGAAATTCAAGTTGATTTACGCGGGTCGAAGAAAGATACCGACTTCAGACAAGATGCCACTTTCTAGGGAAAAGTAAGAGCACTCCAACGTTAGTGAGTTTTGCAAAGCCTTTCCGGCTAGAAGAATTTATTCACAAGGCAAGACAGAGGTTCTGCGAAACCTCGAGGGACACAGTGGGTGGTCTGTCTAGACCGCAGAGCGTTCGCTAGACAGGAAATATTTCACGAGATCGCATCCTCTGTGAAAAAACGCACGCACGCGAGCCGCGTGAACCCCGCGGATCGCACGCTCGGCCTGCGCTTGGTCGAGCCTGCCCGGGCTGCAGCGGAAAGCGGAAGCGCGTTCTTTCAAAGTCGCCGCCCGACGACGACGAACGCAGGCTACTTCCGGCGTAGCCATGGCGGCTAACGCTACTACCAACCCGTCGCAGTTGTTGCCGCTAGGTAATCACCGTCCTATGGGGAGCTGGGGCAGGGAGCTGAGGGTTGGGGCTCCCGGGGCTTCGGCCGAGGCAGCCCCTGGCGAGCGTAGGGAATGCTTTTCTTCTCCGCGGCACGTCGCTCAGCCCCAAGTCTGCGGCGCCGGGCCACGCCTGCGTTTCACGTGTTAGGGTTCCTCCAGGCAGGGACTTTTGACTCCACTGATCAGACCATCACTGGAAAAGGTCCACACTTACAGAATTTATTGCCGGCTTTCTTTATTGTGAACTCGCCTCTCCATTGTATGGATAGCACTATCACTTCTCAACCTGACATTTTGACATTTTATTAAGATCCTCAGATTAGGTAGACCCTGTCATTCATTCATATATATGTACATATATTACATGTATATATTTGGTTGAGAATAGCACCGCGGTTTGGGATGAACTTTAAAAGAGGTATCGGAAAACTAGCTCTGTCAATTCTTTATTTAACGAGCACTTATTGAACATCTATACACCAGACACTGGCCTGGGCACTGTTTAGCAATAAACTTAAACTATAGCCGTTGCCTTCAAATAGCACGCAAGCCAGTGGAGGAGAGAATATTGGACTAGTAAAACATCATGCCGAATAATGCTAACCTAGCCAGGTGTTTAAGTTACATCAGAGGACAGAGAATATACTTCATTGGGTAAAGGAGATAGTAACAAGAAAGAGGCTCCTGCAAATATAATTATGCCTGTCTCTTATAATATTTCATAGCTGGTGAAGAGTAATTGAGTTAGTGGCCGTGGCCGTGACTGAAAAGTTTTCATTCCTTCATTCGACAGGCTCTTGGCGTGACCAGTATATGCCAGACACTGTTTATTCGGGACACAGTGATGAGCAGAAGTAACTATGGTCTCTGCCTCATGGAGCTTGGAGTCTGGGGGGAGTGTGTGTGTGTTCCTTTATTAATCAAATAATCTAAAATAAGGATAAAACCATAATCATGATAAGTTGCTACAAAGAAGAGATAAGTGGAGATAAAGGAAAACTTTTCTGTAAAAGTAATGGATGCACAGGGATTTGTATTGTAAGACCTAAAGTTGTTGAATGAGTATTTTTCCTGGTTTGTCTTTCACCCTATGCAAGTAAGTGCCAGTAGGTAGTCAAATATTTGTTGAAATAATGAATGGGTAAAATAATCTTTTCCTCTCCACAGAGCTTGTGGACAAATGTATAGGATCGAGAATTCACATTGTTATGAAGAGTGATAAGGAAATTGTTGGTACTCTTCTAGGATTTGATGACTTTGTCAGTATCCTTTTAAAAGGTGGTGATGATGGTACACAGATAGGTTTTTCTTTTGTATTTAATAACAAGAGTAAAAAATACAATCAGTATATTTCTGATTATTTTATTATAATAAAAATCTAGTTCATTTTCAGGGAACTTGTGATAATATTTTAGGAGGTGAAAGAAGATCAAGTTTTAAGATACTGAAAGAAGATAAAAGTTTCCACCAGCATGCATTTTGAATTTGAGCTGTTATGTTAAACATAATTAAAACCAAACAAAGGCAGAAGCTAGAGTATATTTAATCTAGAATATGTATTTTCTTAACACCAAATTTCAGATATGGTACTGGAAGATGTCACGGAGTTGTAAGTAGGGTTAAAGAATGGGGGGAAATCTGTCTTTTTAATGAAAGGCAGTTTTACTAATATTGAGTCAGTAAAATGAGAAAACATTACATGTTAGAATTACCTTAAGGGTAGAAATTTTATCTACTGATACTTGCAAAATTGGATCATAAGGTTATTAATTTAATGTAATTAATTATTGCTAGGAAATTAGTGGAGATAAAGCTTTAATGTGAAAGATTATTAAAAAACAGCCAGGAATTTTAAGGCACACATCAAATCAAGAAACTGATAATAACAGCATTTAACTGTATAACAAAATGTAAATGGTAGCTCAGTTATATTCATTATAAAGATTAACACCAGTATCTCTGTTTTTAAAACTGAATTGAGGCTGAGCACAGTGCCTCACACCTGTAATCCTAGCATTCTGGGACGCTGAGGTGGGAGGATTGCTTGAGGCCAAGAGTTTGAGACCAGCCTGAGCAAGAGTGAGACCCTGTCTCTACAAAACAGAAAAATTAGCTGGGCATGGTAATGTGCCTATAGTCCCAGCTACTCAGGAGGCCGAGGCAGGAGAATTGCATGAACCCAGGAGTTAAGGTTGTAGTGAGCTATGATGATGCCACTGCACTATAGCCACGGTGACAGAGTAAGACTCTGTCTCAGGCTCGGTGCCTGTGGCTCAAGTAGCTAAGTGCCAGCCATGTACACCTAAGGTGGCGGGTTCGAATCCAGCCAGGGCCCGCCGAACAACAATGATGGCTGCAACCAAAAAATAGCCAGGCGTTGTGGCGGGCGCCTGTGGTCCCAGCTACTTGGGAGGCTGAGGCAAGAGACTTGCTTGAGCCCAGGAGTTGGAGGTTGCTGTGAGCTGTGATGCCATGGCACTCTACCCAGGGGGACAGCTTGAGGCTCTGTCTCAAAAAAAAAAAAAAAGACTCTGTCTCAAAACAAAAAAAAAACCTGAATTGATTCAGGTTGCTTTAATAGGTAGGATTCAGTAGTAATAGATATGTTAAAGAAAAAGAGGCTGCTAAATATTGCACTTCATATTTGATCTCTTTGGCAAGTTTCAGTTTCTTTTTATGAAGATTAGTCTGTGGATGTACCTCTTAGGTCTGTCAGTCTACTCTGTTGCCTTTGATGAAGAATGTACATTATCTGGTGCATATCCTTTGCCTCTGAAGATTGTTGATAGAATTGCCTGATCTCATGTTAATTTCTTTACAAAAATAACTTTGTATTTCTGAAATGTTAGCTTTGATTACTGCTATTTATTTTGACTCTGTTTTATCTGTTTATTTAGTGAAATCACACCAGAAGGAAGAAGGATTACTAAACTAGATCAAATTTTGCTAAATGGAAATAATATAACAATGGTAAGACCCTTAAAAGTGTTTTATTTAGATGCTAGCCTATTTTTGTGGGGGATGAATAATAGAACTAACTTGAAATGCTGCTTGCTTGACGAAATGATCCTGGCCCAATGATGCTTAAAATGGGAAGGGGATTCTCTTTGGTCAGATCCCTAAAGCTGAGCTATTGAAGAGGCATTGGACTTCAAAATTAGCTTGCTTGGGCTTTTTAATCTTTTTTTTTGTCAAAAGTCATTGTCAAGACACTAAGTATTAATGGGTGATGTTGGGAATTATAAATAGATACTCTCTATACAAAATGGGAATGTAAGGGAGGGATAAGAGCTGAAGAGTAGTTTTAGCTGATGAAGAACTTTAGTAGGGATTTTAGATGACATAGTGGGGTATTATTAATAAACTCTTTTTCCTCTTATGCAGCTGGTTCCTGGAGGGGAAGGACCCGAAGTATGAATGGGTTTCCTTGACTTATGCTAGATTCTGTTTTGTCTCACAGTGACAAAAAAATAGAATTTTTCTTTTTTTTACTTTTTAAAGTTTAGATCCTATAAAGCAAAGTTTCCCGTTAAAGGGAAATATTTTGAAGATGTATACCCATTTTTATAAGTTAATCATGATTATCTTGGAAAAAGAAGAAAAGAATTTCTTCTTTGAAGACTAAAATAAAGATGTTTTTGGTTAATTGTCATTTTATTTATTATACTGCAGTACCATTGGGATAAAGATTGTAGTTATTTTGCCACTTGCTTCCTGTCATTTCGTGCCTGTTTGCTTCCTCATTTACGTGACCATTTAGTTCTCAAACAATTGTTCTGTAAACATAAAAGAAGTAAAGTCTTCATTTTTTTAATGCTGCATAGTATTCCATGGTATACATATACTATAATTTATTAATCCATTCGTGGGTCGATGGGCACTTGGGCTTCTTTCGTGACTTGACAATTATGAATTGAGCTTTTATGTTTACATGGATGGAGCTGGAAAATATTCTTCTTAGTAAAGTATCTCAGGAATGGAAAAAAAAATATCTAGTGTGCTCAGTACTACTGTGAAACCAATTTACAATCACTCACACTTGCATATAAAAAATGAAACACAACTATAGCCTAGGATAAAGGAGGGAAGGGGAGGGAGAGGGATAGGGAAGGGGGTGAGTTGATACAGGGAGGGTTAGTAGGGGGACCACACCTATGGAGCATATTGCAAGTACAAGTTGGATCTATCAGGTGTAGAACACAAATGTCTTAATCCTGTAATTGGGTAAATGAGGTGAAGGCTATGTTGATTAGTAGGATGTAAGCACTCCAATTTGTACAAATATTCAATGCATTGAATCCCGTAATGGCATAAATGTATTTATAATTTATGTACAAATGACTTAATTAAAAAAAAATAATTCTCCCTGAAAAAAAAAAAAGTTCTGAAAAAATGATGAGCTTTGATTTGAACAGGTACTTTTAAAAAGCTTGAAGTGATTACTTAGAAAATTCATTTCAAACTGATGTTTTGTAAGGAGGATTTTTCCATTGAATTCCTATTAAAACAAACAGAAAACATGGGTAATTCCACTAACTCCTATAAAAAACTAAGTAAATACACAGTTGTAATAAATGCAGATTGTAGAAATGCGAGTAAGCAAAAAGGATTGATCACACTTTGCTGTGTATGGCCAGACTTTCTCAGCACACTCTTAGTGTACATTTTGTTTTTATAGAAACTTGCTCTTCGGATAGTACCATTTTTAGCCTCCATTTCAGTCCTTTAAAAATTTAAATGGTGAATATCTTTCCATGTTAAATATTTCACAACATTAATGTGTAGATAGCACATAGTATTTTATTAAATGGACTTCCTGTGAATTATTTAGCCCATTAATGGCCACAGTAGCCTAGTTCTTTATACATTTTTGTTTTTCCTAGAATAAATTCATAAATTTAAGATTAAAAAGTATGAATTTTCAACAAAAGTCTGTACTGCCTTATACTTTAGCTAGGAGTTTGTCCTAGTACCATTTACATCTTTCCAACGTTCAGTATGTTTTATCTTTTTCTCTTTGCTATTGTGATAGGCAAAAGCTGGCCTAAAATTTTCTTTATTAATTTTGAACTTATTTGTACTTTTAAAATTACTTATCCAAGGTTTTTTGCCATTGAGATACTTGTCTTTTTCTTACTAATTTGTAGGAATTCTTGGTAGGTTACTCTTAGTCATATACATTGTAAAAAATTTCTCTAGTTTGTCTGTGGTATTTTTTGACATAAGTAATGTATTTTTATGTAGTTATATGTATGTGTATATATATGTATATTTTGAGATAGAGTCTCACTATATTGCCCTCAGTAGAGTGCTGTGTCATCACAGCTCACAGCAACCTCAAACTCCTGGGCTTAAGCAATTCTCTTGCCTCAGCCTCCCAAGTAGCTGGGACTATTGGCACCCACCACAATGCCTGGCTATTTTGTTGTTGTTGTTATTGCAGCTGTCACTGTTGATTTTAGCTGGCCCGGACTGGGTTCTAACCCACCAGCCTCAGTGTATGTGGCTGGTGCCCTAACCAGTGAGCTCTGAACACCCAGCCCTATTAATGATTTTTGTCTTTGGTCTTCATGGATTAGAAGAACCTCTATTGTTCTGACTATATTTTTCCTTGGGTTCTTTTTTTTTTTTTTTGAGACAGAGCCTCAAGCTGTCCCCCTGGGTAGAGTGCTGTGGCATCGCAGCTCACAGCAACCTCCAATGCCTGGGCTCAAGCGAGTCTCCTGCCTCAGCCTCCCAAGTAGCTGGGACCACAGGCACCCGCCACAACGCCTGGCTATTTTTTGGTTGCAGCCATCATTGTTGCTTGGCGGGCCCGGGCTGGATTCGAACCCGCCACCTTAGGTGTATGTGGCTGGCGCCTTAGCCACTTGAGCCTTTCCTTGGGTTCTTTATGTTTTGTTCCATTTAAATCTAAAATCCACCTGGAATTTTAGTGTTTCCACATGAAAAAAGGATCCAGTTTCATTTTACAAAAAACAAGGCACTGATTTGTAGTATTTTCTGATTTACATGGTGTATGTACTACTATTCTGCCTGATTTCAAGATAGTTAACAACTGGCTTGCAAACTTCCCAAGAATTTAACACTTGGTTTTGAGGAGCCAGTTGTCCCACACCACTGCAGCTAACTCTTACTAAGGGGAATACTTCCCCTGTCCTGTTGTTTCTTTACTTTTGGAGGGAAGCTAAATGATGTTAACACTGGTCTCTTTGCAGCCTTTACTCACTATTCCAGGGGAGCTGGTGTTCATGCCCAATTCTTCCTTTTTTCCTCATGGGAATTAGTAACTTGCAAGGAGCATATGTTCTTAGCTGCCACATGCTATGAGTTTTATAGAAGCCTGACAACTTGGGGAGGGCTGCAGGTATCTAGTCTGTGGCTACATAAATGAATCTCCTGGAGATCAGTAATAGGAAGTCCACTCACCTGTGGATAACTTTGCCTAATCTAGTACTTTTTATTTTTATTTTTTTGAGATGGAATCTCACTTTGTTGCTCTTGGTAGAGTGCTGTGGTGTCATAGCTAACAGCAACCTCATATACTTGGGATCAAGAGATCCTCTTGTATTAGTTTTTCTATTTTTAGTAGAGATGGGAGCTCTTGCTCAGGCTGGGCTTGAACTCCTGAGCTCAAGCAATCCACCTGCCTCAGCTTCCCAGATTGCTAGGATTACAGGTGTGAGCCACCTGGCCTGACCCCTAATCTAGTCTTTAATAAAGTTGACAGTATGACTCCTATTTGCTTACACTTTAGTCTTATCTGTAAGTTGTTTAGAATGGGTGCTAGTCTATAATCTGCATTTTTGAGTCTTGGCACTATTGACGTTTTTGTCTGGGTGATGGTTGGTGGGCTGTTCTGTTTACTGTAGGCTGTTTAGCAGCATCCCTGGCCTCTACCTGCTAGGCGCCAGAGAATCCTCCCATATCTCCCTGTCCTCTCAAGGGTGACAAAAGTGGCTCCCGATGTTGCCCAGTGTCTCCCCAGGGCAAAATAATCACCCCTGCTTAAGACTATTCCTAATAATAGAGATATTTATTGGACCTTCCAAAATCCCCTAGTATTTGGTGTGTGGGCCAGGAACATTGGATCTAGGTGAGTAAAAATGGGGGAGAAAATGGTGTGATTGTTCTAGCAGGGCAAGATGGGTGGTTTTAAGCTCAGTGGGTGCTAACCATGTGTGATTTTCACGTGGGCAGATTGCTGGTGAGCAGCTGCTTTTTTACAGGTGGGATCATTTCTACAGAGGGAGGGCCATTAAGCAAAGGTGAGGTCTCAGCAAAAGTGAGATGGCAGAAAAGGCAGAAGCCATCAAATTTGGGCACTGGTGACTTTTGGTAGGTTTGTCCTCAAATGTTGGTTTGAAAACTGCACAGTATCAGAATCACCTGGAGCTACTGAAGGACAGACACAGAGGCCCAGGCTTGCTGAAGCAGGTTAGGACCTTGGCCTTTGTATTTTTCCAAGTTCCCCAGGTAATTCAGTTTGTCACCAAAACCTGAGGACCACTGCCTTAGAGAGTAGGCTGCTGCAGGCGTGGCAGTGACTATCCAAGATCATATAAATACCTTGTTTCTATTTATTTGTTGTTTAAATTTGATGTCGGCGCTGGGGATAACCTTGTATATATAGTTACCTCTTTGTTCCCATTAAAAAGTGTGGCAAAGCACGAGCAGCAAATGAAAGAAACTGGACTTCATTAAAATCAAAAGCTTTTGTGCTTCCAAAGACACCATCAAGAGGATGAAAAGACAACCCATGGACTGGGAGAAAATATCTGCAAATCATATAGATGATAAGGAACCCACATCTGTACAGAACCCTTTTAACTTGAAAAGACAACTCAATTATAAATAGTTAAAGGGTCTAAATAGGCATTTTTCCAAAGAGGATGTGCAAATGACAAGCAAGCACACAGAATGAAAACATGCTCAATCATTGGCTGTTAGGGAAAGGCAGATCCAACCCACAATGAAATGCCATTTCACACCTGCTTTAGAATGGCTATAATTTTTAAAAAAAAAGGAAAATAAGCAATGCTGGCTCAGCGCCTGTGGCTCAACTGGCAAAGGCGCCAGCCACATACACCTAAGGTGGCGGGTTTGAATCCAGCCTGGGCCCGCCAAACGACAATGATGCCTGCAACCAGAAAATGGCCAGGTGTTGTGGTGGGCGCCTGTGGTCCCAGCTACTTGGGAGGTGGAGGCAGGAGACTCGCTTGAGCCCAGGAGTTGGAGGTTGCTGTGAGCTGTAATGCCACAGCACTCTACCCAGGGGGGACAGCTTGAGGCTTTGTCTCAGAAAAGAAGCAATGCTGGCAAGGAGATGAAGAAATTGGAACCCTAGTACATTGTTGATGAAAATGTAAAATGATAACAGCTGTTGTGGAAAAGAATTTGACAATTCTTCAAAAAGTTAAACATAGAGTTACCATGACCCAGCAATTTCACTCCTTGGTTTATACCCAAGAGAACTAAAACCAAGTCCACACAAAAACTACTAGATGAATGTTCACAGCAGTATTACTCATCACGGCCCACCGGCAGACATACCTCCATCTTTAAAAAAAGTTAAACGTATCTGGGTATATCTAATGTAAATTCTGAGGCCCTAAAAAAATTATTTTTCCATAAGTGACAGTCCAG